CTAGACTAGTGAATCTGTTTAGGCTTAGATTGGAGACACAGATAACACACCCTTCAGATCCCTAGCTGCGCCAATATGTTGCGCACTTATGGCCTTGATTTCTTCTTTCCTACTCTTGCGTTTGCTAGCGTGTACCTTCCTTCCTTCTTTTCTGTCAGTGGGGAAATCTGGTTATAAAATACTGGATATCTGATATCTCTTTTCTTATGTGTTCATTTTCATACTTTGATTTGAGGTATGTTGTGCAACGACCCCTCTCCCTTCCGTCCTTTCAAAAACCACTTCAGATCCCAATATGTAATCCTTTGCATTCCCCCCCCGCCCCAGTTAATTTATGATACTTATTTCATTTCTCCTAGTCTCTTTCTTTTAATAAATTCCTTCCCTGAACACCTTCTCTTCTTTCCTCCTCCTTGATTATTATATCCATCTGAGATTGTCCTGGTACCTTCCTGAAACTTCCACTTGGTAGGCACTATTACAGTGGTGCCTCAGGTTACAGACGCTTCAGATTACATACGCTTCAGGTTACAGACTCCGCTAACCCAGAAATAGTGCTTCAGGTTAAGAACTTTGCTTCAGGATGAGAACAGAAATCGTGCTCCAGCGGCATGGCAGCAGCAGGAGGCCCCATTAGCTAAAGTGGTGCTTCAGGTTAAGAACAGTTTCAGGTTAAGTACAGACCTCCGGAACGAATTAAGTACTTAACCCGAGGTACCACTGTATTTTCCTTAAATGAGAAATGTTAAGGATAAACTCTCTGTCCAGAATCCCAAAGAATAACAGCTTAAGATAATGATTGTGGCTGCACCTCAAACCACTGCTGCTCCCATTCAGGAGGAAGTGGGAAGAGTTGTTATGTCAGGGGTCAGCAACCTAAGGCCCGTGGGCCACAAGTGGCCCGCAGGGGTCGTTTTACCAGCCCATGAGCCATCCACGAACTGAGCCACCCACTTGGCAAGTCGCTGTGCTAAACCGGGGCAGCACAGTGCAGGGACTCGCTTTCGCAGCGCCCAAAATGGCGTCTGCGCAGATGCGCCGGGACCACATAACACCTGAGACATCTGCATTGGCTCCCAGTACATTTCCGAGCACAATTCAAAGTGTTGGTGCTGACCTTTAAAGCCCTAAACGGTCTTGGTCCTGTATACCTGAAGTAGCGTCTCCAGCCCCATCGTTCAGCTCCGAGGTCCAGCTCCGAGGGCCTTCTGGCGGTTCCCTCATTGTGAGAAGTGAGGTTACAGGAAACCAGACAGAGGGCCTTCTCGGTAGTGGCGCCCGCCCTGTGGAACGCCCTCCCTTCAGATGTGAAGGAAATAAGCAGCTATCTTCTCTTTAAAAGACATCTGAAGGCAGCCCTGTTTAGGGAAGTTTTTAATATTTAATGCTGTATTGTTTTTAACACTTGATTGGAAGCTGCCCAGAGTGGCTGGGGAAACTCAGCGAGATGGGCGGGGTATAAATAAATTATTATTATTATTATTATTATTATTATTATTATTATGCAGATGCCGGAAATCGCAGGCACGCTCACTCATGTGCGCCTGTGATCCGGCCCATGGAGAGGGCTCCGCAGCAGTGAACCGGCCCAGGCAAAGTAAGCCTTGCCCAACCCCTGTGTTATGTAGTCCTTCATACAGCTTTTAGACCAGGGGTCGGCAAGGTTTACCTAGCCTGGGCCGGTCCACTCCAACGGAGATCCCTTCGTGGACCGGATCACGCATGTTTCGGCATCTGAGAATGCGCGGACGTGATTTCCGGCTCTGTGGAAGCGACTCCCTGCACCATGCTGCGCCAGTTTAGCGCAGCACATGGATACTCGCCGAGTGGGTGGCTCGGTTTGGAGGCAGTTTGTGGGCCAGTTAAACGATCCCCACGGGCCACTTGTGGCCCATGGGCCTTAGTTTGCCTACCCCTGTTTTAGACAGAGCCATGTGTTATGAATGCTCCTCCTTTCAACCCCACTCTGAATGCCATACGTATGTCAGAATGCAATTGTGCTTAGAAATTCATGATATATTTGAAAGACAATTGTAATCAATTGACATCGCTTGTAGGGTTACAAGAAGTTTTGTAAGGAGAACTATATGAATAATTGTGAAAGAAAACTAAGAAGGAGTTTATTTAGGATTTGGATTTCATAGCAATAACTATAATAATAAAATGCAAAATTAGAAAGGAACCATCAGTTGAGGTTGATGGAAGTCCTAGGCTGTGATAACCAAAGTTTGTTACTGTTGTTTAAAATGGGATGTTAGGTTTGGAAAACATGTGTAAAAACCAATAAAAATTATATTAAAACAAAACAAAACAGAATGCAATTGTTCTTGCATGCATTATGAATGCCAGTAGAAAAATGAGCCATTTATTTGTTCTTGTAATAATAATAATAATAATTTATCATTTCTACCCCGCCCATCTGGCTGGGTTTCCTGAGCCACTCTGGGCGGCTTTCAACAGAACATTAAAAACAGAATAAAAACTTCAAACATAAAAAACTTCCTTAAACAGTGTTGCCTTCAGATGTCTTCTAAAAGTCAGATAGTTGTTTATCTGTTTGACATCTGATGGGAGGGCGGGCACCACCACCGAGAAGGCCCTCTGCCTGGTTCCCTGTAAATTCGCTTCTTGCAGGGAACTGCCAGAAGACCCTCAGAGCTGGACCTCAGTGTCCAGGCTGAACGATGAGTTGGAGACAAATACACCAGTCCTCCTAAGATGATGAATTGTGTAAGATGGTTGGGAATGTAATTGATATTGCCTGTGTCAATCACTTATGACAAGAGAATCACCCAACCTCCCCCTTCACCATGACCACCAAATGTTAAGAGCTGATTTTTTTAAATTTTTCAAAAATCTAAAATATAGAATTTTCTTTGTCAACTTTTAAAAACTTAAAGGACCTGACCTGAATGCAAGACTGCCTCTTTCTTCTCAAGTACCCTTTTAATTATGTTTTTGCTCTGTCCCTTTCCTACTGCAAATATCGTGGGTTGGGGAGTTATGTGAAAATGGTTTTCTCATTAAGGAAGCCTTCTGAAGCAAGTCCTGTTTAACCGTTGTCGTGGCACTGATACTTATTCATGCCTTCCTGGCAGATAGCGCCACGAGGTGTGTTTAGGGCATTCAGGAATCTTAGGCAGCTCAACCGAAAAATCACATTTCCCTAAAAACTCAACCACTTCCTGGTTTTTTTACTTTTTGAAGTAAATGCCACGTAACTGTAAGTTCTGAACAGTGGCATAGCAAGCAAGAGGCTGTCATTTCTTAAATTGACTATACATTTTAGCCAGTACAGGGATGCACAGATAAGATACATTTCATACTTATCAGGAAACAAAACCCTCTACTTATTAGCAATTAAGATTGGAAAATCGTCACTGTTATCTTAGATCTAAACGTAAGAGAGAGACCAAGTGTTATGGAAACGTGCCTGAACCCAGACCATTTTTAGAAGAGAACATGCAATCGAAAGAGTTTACTAAAGAGCGAAATAATGGACCGTTGCTGCTATAATTACTTTCTAAGTGGTTCCATTAAAGCAGGGAGAATAGCATCTGAAATTCTATTATTAGGTCTCTGCAAAGCTTCAGTTTTGGTAGTCGGTGATAAATGCTCAGAAATGGAATTACCGAAGGAGGACTAGAACATAATGATGAGGGGGGAATCACAGTGCTTCTAAAGAATTTGCCTTAATTTTTCATTATTTTGCACCCCTACTTATCTCATGAATAATTTTAAAAGTCATTTTGAACAATTAACTCACCCCCAGGTATTAAAATGAGCTGATATTTCCAGTTCAGAGTGGAACTTTCCCTTTGAACTTGGAGAGTTCCAACACTGTTTCCACAGCTGATTTGCATTTTATATAATCTTAGCTTTACTGCATTGGTGCTACAAGATAATTCCACTTTGCAGAAGGCTTTTCCTTCTGTTTGACGAAGGGGTGAAGAAGCTCCCTGACTCAGATGTTTTCTTTGAAACATATGCTCAGCAATCACAGCGCGGCTGTAATGTACATTTCTGAAGCATCCCTCTTTTATTTAAGTTTTCAGTTTTACAATTACATCGTTTTCCATTCTTATACAGCAGCTCTTTTTGACTTCCCACCCAGTCTGCATGAAAAACAAAACGAAGTATATTTAGAGTATATCACATAAAAAGCCACAACCTAAATTAAATGATTAAAAGCCTTACATGGCTCAAGAGCTCAGTACCTCTCCCCATAGGAACCCACCTAAACTCTGTACTTGACATCCAAAGCCCTTCTCTATGTTCCCCCCCCCAGAGGTTTGGAGGGTTAAAACACGAGAACGGGCCTTTTCTGTGGTGGCTCCCAGTCTGTGTAATGCTTTCCCCATCATTACTTATCTTTAGGCTCCAGGCAAAGACATTCCTCTTTATCCAGGCCATTAAATATCTATGGCCTGTTAATTTGGGAGGATGGGCCTTACAATTATTTTATTATTATGCTGTGTATTATCATGTTTGCTTATTATTATGCTGTGTAAATTATGTTCTTAATTTTGTACACCTCCCTGGGATTTTTGGATAAAAGGTGGTATAAAATTTAAAATAAATTAATAAAAAAACTCCAATCGTATCCCAATAAACATTAAATAGGCTTTCACCGGAACGTGTTCTTAGGCATCTTGCAGACTATTGATGCTAAATAAATATTAAATCGTAGCATAAAATTGTAGTTTACAAAAGAAGATTCCCAGAAGGTGAAACTTCAAACGTAACCCTAGAAGAGAAAATGTAATTTCCAGTGACACCCCAAAACGTACTGCGTTTTGTGCTCCAACCAACCTATCCAAGATGCTTACATTAACTACAGAAGCAATTTTCATAAATACTTCTCATTTTGACAAGCTGTGCTTCCCTACTCTGCAGAAAGATTATTGCTGTGAATTTTATTGAGAATGTGTGAAAGCATGTTGATTACTTTGAATGTCTGCTGCTTCCTTATCTCTGTGTCTTTTACTATGATGTTGTAGAGCTTGGATCATATGGAAAGCTAAAATATTATGACACAATGACTGAAGAAGGTAAGAAATATTTTGGAATTTTTGTCTCAGCGTTTTTTTATACTCTTTTTTCAAAAAAAACCTACTGTGATTACTTTTTTCTTCTTCTTCTTCTTCTTGGGTTTTTTTTTCAGTTCCTCTTTGCATGATTTCACTGACATAGCGTGATGTGCTGCCATACTTCTTAACGTTTTTATCAACTCGCATTTGCTGTTTCTTCTTTTATTGCCATACAGCAAATCAGTTTTGCTTTGACATAGCACACACTTTCAAAACTTTGTTCTTCATGCAAACCTGATCATGTCCACAGCAAGCCCTACTGAGTTCAGTGGGACCCACTCCCATCTAAGTGTGTAAAAAGACTGCTGTCTAAATGTGCCTAGATTTATTAACGCAAGACCCAGTGAAACTTATTAATCATACTTCTCATTTCGGATATAGCAAGGCTAGGAGATGACCTTTCGATTTTGCAAACACCTACGTGCAAATTGTTCAGAGCTTCATCAAAATATTTGGTTAATTGATGTGAGTGTTTTCATCGAGGTTAGGTGATGTTGTGCAATCCACATTAACAACTGAGATATAGTTTACACCTGTGCAGCCATTTTAAAAATGTAAGCTATGCCAATTAGCAGTTTGCTCAATCTTGTCAGCACACGCAGTCCTTATCCAAAGTTTTCGATGGATGAATGAGAGATGGGTGATGCTACTATCGTCTCCTCCCCATGGCTGAACCAAAGGTGGAACTGCACTGAGAGTTCTTGCAATCCTAATGCAGGGAGAGGGCAATTGCAAGGAAGAATCCATGGAAGGAAGTGAGGCACTTTGCTCTTCCCTCTCTCACTAATTTGGTGCTGAATGGATTTCGAACGGGATGGGCATTTTGCCACAAACTATGTCCATTGTTGGACGCGGGTGGTGCTGTGGGTTAAACCACAGAGCCTAGGACTTGCTGATCAGAAGGCCGGCGGTTCGAATTCCCATGACGGGGTGAGCTCCCGTTGCTCGGTCCCAGCCTCCTGCCAACCTAGCAGTTCGAAAGCACATCAAAGTGCAAGTAGATCAATAGGTACCACCATCCCGGCAGGTAAACGGCGTTTCGTGCCGGCTGGCTCTGGTTCGCCAGAAGCGGCGAGCTCATGATGGCCAATGACTCAGAAGCTGTCCGGGCTCTCTCGCCAATAAAGTGAGATGACGCCGCAACCCCAGAGTCGGCCACGACTGGATCTAATGGTCAGAGGTCCCTTTACCTTTAGCACTGGAAAAGTCTGCTGTGTGGATGGGGCTGGCTTTTCAAATGCTTCTGGACTTCAGCTCTCAACAGACCTAGTCAGCATGGCCGGTGTTCAGGGATGGTGGGATTTTAGATTAACAATGCCAGGTTCCCCTCCCTTGCTCTCTTGAGTGTCATGCTAAGCGGCTGAAATGAGCACTTTCCCCATTATGGCCCTGGCAGTCAGTACAACCACTGGCTTTGTTGGGGGGTTGGAACAACTGCCTGTTCATGAGTCTCTCTGGCTGCAACAGGAACAGGTGTGATCTTGCAATAGGACCCAGCCAATAGGACCAGATTGTAAATAGCCTTTTCTGTTTGTGTGCCTCTTCTGATGACTCCATAATCGATCTGTATCCATTTTTCTACCCATAAGTAGATTTGTACTCTTTACCATGTGAGGTTTTGTACCTATTATTTTAGATTTGCCTTTTCCACTGCATTAGAATGAACTAACTAATGAACAGATGACATCTCATTAATCGGTTCTTCATTTCTCTTTGTAACCACTCTTTATATAGTCTGGCTTTTGTTTCTTGAAGCACCCATTGATCTCGCTATTACATTACATTGTATTAAATGCTCCTGTTTTCAAGCTGTGCCATGTTTGCCAAGTGCATTCTTCTGTGTCAAACCAGTATCAACTTTAAAATACATCCATTGGACACTGCAAACATCAAATAATAAAAATGCTTCGGGATGGATGAATCTTGCCGCTGGAGAGATGAATTTTATTGGTGTCCATCAATTGCCATGTTTATCTTTTATTTGATTACATGATTATATCCAAGCTTTATGCCTTCATAGATAACCTTCTATGTTCTTAGTCCCAGTTTTTGTTGCTTCTCTGCATCCAGCCATCTTCTGCTCTCCAAAAGCCTTTCAGAAAAACACAAAGGTTACATTTTTAGAAATTAATCTGATCTCAGGAAGGTCTTTTTTTTTTTTAGGGCAAAAACCATTGTTGTCTGCATCTCAGAAACATAATGAAAAGGGAAATAGAAAAATATTTCTCTTCCACCACTTCCCCACAAATATTCGGTATTTCCCGCTGCCTACCATTATATTTGAGCTATATCCTTAAATCACTCCACTACTAATTGAAAAGCAATTGTTAAGATGAATACCGGAAGTCCGTGCTGCGGGCTGATCCCAGTTATAGCTGGAGACACAATCATGTGCTCCCCCCATCCCCCAGGCAAAGGAGTTGAATGCAGTTGGGAAAACATATTGCTGCTTAGGGTACATACATTCATTTTTTTACTTTCACCTCTTCTACGTAGGCTTTTCATGGTTTAGCAAATATGCCAAGCTTTTTTGTCCAAAGACAACAACAGAGCAAAACAATATCCATCATGGGAAGTATCCTGGTTTGTGCAAAAGACAGGTTCTTATTTTCAGATAAAATGGGAAACTGGTTTGCTGCAAACTCTGGGTTGTTTTACAACATTAAATTTGAATCAGACACTGGTCCATGGTGTTCTCTCAGCCAGTTCCTGCTCATTATCAAAATTCATTATCAGAACGGAGAAAATATATTGTAGGATAATTACAAATGTCATGCAGTTAGGTCTCCGAGTTGCATAAAGGTCTTATTGGGTTAAAGTATTTTATTGATTAATTGATAAGTAAATAGCGTATGATTTGTTGGCTGCATTTTATTGTTTGTGTTTTAGTGTTTCATATGTGTCTTAAAACTGTTGTATACCACCTTGAGATTCTCAGAGGAAGGCAAAAGAAACATTTTAATTAATTCCCCCCCCCCTTGCATGAGTGAATCTCCAATTCCTCTCCGTCCCCCTTGCGGTATAACCCCCCCCCTATCTGTTCCAGAGGGTTGGGGGATCCTCTGGAAAAGATTTTGGGGTCGGCAGGTGGGCTATAGGGGGAGGAGAGGAGCAGGAAGTCTCATTGCTCATGCAGAAGTCAGTTGTGCAGTTAGACAGATATCATTGGTATTCACCCCTATATTTACTAGGTGGGCTCTAGCTTGAGAATGATTTTGCCACAATTAATGCATTAGTCTCTGGGCTGCCACAGGGCTCTTAGGCTGCAATCCATTTAATTTAGTGAGATCTAGTGTAAACTTGCATAGGACTGAGCTGTTAGTTGTCTCTTCTGGAATTTGTCTCCTAGGAATGGGGGGGGGAAGGCGAAGCATAGCAGTCATCCTATTAATAAAAGTTGGTGTTAATTCTGACAGCTTTCTTCATTCAGCGTTAATTGAAACCAAATCAATGTGCCCCCTTGGTCCAAGGTGCTGTCTCTCAGCCTTGCAGGAGCTTCTGATGATACAAATACACACGCAATACTAAGCCACCGTTTTGCAGCTATTCAAGTTGGAAGATATAAGTTCAGCTTGCTGTTTCACGGTGCAAGGAGCTGAGGCAGTAACAGGAATCAGCCACCTCCGATAGCTATGCTTTAACAAATGTGTTTCTTTCTTTCAGGAAAGTTCAAAGAAAGGGCATCTATTCTTCATAAGATGGCCAAAAAGTGTCAGGTGGAGGACGGTGAAAAACGGAATGGAAGTGCTATTCATGCCGGTAGGCAAAATATAATAATATTTAATTATTTCGTTTGCGGATATGTGAATAGATAGATAATTTATTACAGTCAAAGACCAGCTCACATAACATAACACAATAAAAACAGCATTCATAAAGATAAAATATACAATCGGAGCAGATTGCAGCGTTAGCTCATGAGTTAAAATTGAGATATATACACCTGTACAACTGAGATTTGGGCTAGCATAAAAAAAATTGACCCTGAGGCGCCCCAAAGGGTAACTTCAGCATTTCCCTAGTAAGCTATTTTATTCTAGAGGATGATCTGTGCCTACAAATCTTGGGCGCAGAATCTGGCTACCAGCCAGGTTGTCTTATGATCTTTGCCTAAGAGGAGAGAATTAAATATGTGAATAGAAATGCTATACTTTACTCAAGAAAATACCGCATTTAAAAAAATTGAGGTAATACCTATTTATTTATAGTATAATTGCAAAATAGCAGGTACTTTTTTTGTTGCAAAGAAACCTGCAGCTGTTCTGCACAAGATGGATGGGTCTGGCATTCTCATCTGTCTTCCAGTGCAGATATTCTTCCCTGTGTGAAGCCCTTGGTTTCTTGGTATATGCGCTGCAACTGCGTTCGCCAAGTTGAAAGCAGAAGTGAAGAACAAGCTTTCCTTCTGCAACGTCTTTTTTTCCATGCTTGATTTTATTTAAGCTTAGATCAGCAGTGGGGAACAGCAGCCCACCGGCCTAATTAGGCCCAGCAAGCCATTTCCCAAACCAGACCCACCTGCCCACGTGATGTGTGATGCAGTGACAGTGAACCCCTTTGAAGGTATCACCTGACATCATACTAGAATCAGCTGGTTGACAGCTGGGCAGTCCCACTCAGCCAGTTCCCCTCCCCTCCCCTGGCTTAGATAATCCTCTGTGATCACACAGGCTAATGATGGTCAACAAGTTGGCTCATTTACAAACCACCAGCTGATACACGTGTGTGTCCCCCAATTAAGGGATAGCCCCGCATCCCTTATCCACATTCTTCTAGAGACTGGCTAGGAGTCAGAGAATATACTGCAGAATAAGCAGTGTCTTTTATGCCTTCCTCCTTCACCTGTTCACGAGTCTTTAAATTGTGGTGTGTGTGAATAGCCCAGGTTTATCCTTGCACCAGTCAGGTCTAGCGGAACGGGAACTAGGAGAATCCCAAAGCACTACAAATTCTTCCTCTCTTGCAACATAAATGCTTATGTATGGGCAAAGAGGAACAAATCACAGAGCTTCTCTCTGCCAGTTTCATCTCCTGAGCAGTTCCACCTGAGGTCCTGGGAGTTGGCCGTGTCTGTAAGAGATAAGTGTCTGCATGATAAGAGACTAATTCGCTCTGGGTGAGCAGCTGTGTAAACAAGGAGGTGATTAATTAATAGACTTGATATTGGAGCAGAGAAGGTAAAGATTACAAAGATATTATATTAAACTCTGTTAGCATTCAGTTTGACTCTCCTTTAAATGCCACTGGCTTCAGTAGGTTTAAGCTAGACTATTTTTGTCTCAAACTAACTCTTATATCAGCTAATTAAATACCAGTGCTTAACTGTTCGATGAGTTTACAGATTAATGGTTGAAAAGTAACTGATATGTTCTCAGTTTTGCTTACGTTTTGTTTTTTAATTTCTGGAATATGCTTCAGGTGCTCCAAACACTGCAAAAGTTGAAGTTGAAGTGACACCACCAAATGATGGAGCTATGCAAAACGGAACAGCTGTTGGAGCAACAGAGGTTGCTATCTTATTCCTTCCCCTTCTCCCCCCTGTCTCCTCCATCCCTATTTATGCATGATTTCGTGATGCACAGGAAGTACCATAAAAGGGCAAAGAGATTCATAAAATTATGAAACACTGGAGAGAGAGAGAGAGAGAGAGAGAGAGAGACTGACTCTTCTTCTTCTTCTTCTTCTTCCTCTTCCTCTTCCTCTTCCTCTTCTCCCTCCTCACAAGAATTCAGTCCTCCACAGGTATAGCTAGTTATCATACGGTGGTTGTGAATTGCATGGACACAAGCTGTAGCATTGGCCACTGGCTTTGGTCATTTGGCCACTAGCATTATGCTTTCCTCACACACTCCTTAGAAACATCCAGCTGATCACTGTTGCAAACAGAATTATGGGTGTAGACCAGGGATGGGGAGGTTGTGGCCTTCTAGATGTTGCTGGACTTCAGTGCCTGTCCTCGCTGACAAAGGACTATGCTGGCTCATCTTCCTCATCCCTGGACAAAGTGGACCTTTGGTCTGTTTCAGTAGCACCCTTATGTTTTTACCGTATGAAGTCTGTGGGCCCAGGGTGGGGGAAGTTTACCACCTGGTAATATGCGAGAACAATCACCTTGGAGATTTAAAAAAGCCCAGTGGTTTCACATAAGCTGATGCAGCAGCCGTGTTGTGTGATACGTGGCAAACTGGCTCTCCAAAACTTCTGAGTGAACATTTTTCTCAAGGTTGGGCCAAAGTCAGTGATGTTTCCTTCCAGGGTGCATTTGTCATGTTTGCCTTGGGAACTGCGTTCACATCACCTGGTTCCATTAATAGAGATTCTTTCCTTGCGCTGAGCAAAACATTTCCTCCCAAGACTGCAGCCTGTCAGCTGTGATTAACTGGATTCATAAAAGGGACACACTTGTGAGTGCAGCAACCTAACCCGCATTCTCTCGTTTTATTTTATTTCTCATTATTTATAAGATTTTATTACTGCATTACAATTAAAAAGATTAATCTAAAAGAAAAAGAAGGATACAAAGCCCTCTTTCACAGGTAAATCTTAACTTAGACTAACACAAGTTTTGACCCAGAATGAATTTTTGACAAATGGATTCCCACTTTCAAGACTTCGTAATTAGAGTCATAGCAAATATACCTGTGGCTCCACCTTTTGATGTTCCTGAATAGTCTTGAAATAATTTCAGCTTTTAAACAAGGCTGTCTTCAAAGCAGACAGACAAAAAAAGACAAAGCGCAGTGATTTAATTTTCCATATGAATATTGTTTTGTTATCTTCTTGTTTACATTAGGTATCACCCAGGACTTTAATTTCAGTTAAGCACTTTGATTTCACTGGGAGATATTTGAGCATCTGTTCTACTCTCCCGTTGAATCACCAGGATTTAAGACTGCTTAGTTTGGCCTGGATCTTGCCCTTTGTCTGCCTAACAAGGAAGTGTTTTCCTTAAGCACAGGGAAAAAACACAAAAGGGTCTAGAACTGAACGAATTAATTTGGAAGTCTTTATCCTTCCTGTCACTCAGGCCTCAGAAATTATTCAGGAAGAACAGAGGCACAAGGAAGCACAACTGCATCTCATAGAATATTCTATGTACAGTCGTTGTGTGACTAGCATTTTCTAAGCCTACTGGAAAATCCTGCAGAGTCAGGAAGTCTTGTTTTCAAAAGCAAAGTGCTGTGTCTGCCTTATTTTGAATAAACTGTAAAGAGAAGGGACCTGACTTTTTTGCAAGTCCATACAACTGGATCAAACCATGCTATCCTCTGCCAGTTCTGCAAAAGAAGAAATCAACAAAAATCTGGCATCAGAAATGGCAACATTTAGAAACCAGTGGGTGAGCCTTTTAGTTTCCCAGAACGCTCCACTTTTTATATGAATGTTGGAGTTCCCTGTCAGAGGAATTTCAGAGGGAGAACAGCGTGTCAGATAGCTGGATTGAGACTAATCAAGAAGTTTGATTCCATCGTTTAAGCTTCACTAGATACCATGTTTTACTGTCCCAGTATAGCTGTTAATTGACATAGTAAAACTCTGGTGCTGGTGCTATCAGCAATTGCTGTTCCGTATTTTAAGCTTTACACAGAGTTGTGGACATTGTCATGTATCCCCCAGCTGAGATTCAAGGCCACGGGTGTCAAACACAAGGTCCGCGGGCCGAATCTGGCCCGCCAGACCTTGTCATGTGGCCCGTGTAGCCACCGCCGGCCGCCAGCCTTCACCTTTTATTCTCGCTTTTTTTTTTTTTTTGGACACAAGAAAGCCGCCTCTTCAGCGCATGCGCGGCAACCTACAAGCCAGAGGTCTGGCCTCTAGTGGCGCCGGCTGTTCTACACAGGAAACCTCCACTTTACTGTAGGACCTACAGATACAACCGGCCCTTTGAGGGTGACCAAACTGCTGATGCGGCTCCTGGTGAATTTGAGTTTGACACCCCTGTTCTATGCCATGAAAATTTATACTGCACTGACAGCCCAAACCTGCACATGTTTACTTAGAAGTAAGCACCACTGAGTTCCTTGGGACTTACGTACAGGTGAGGGAACACAGGATTAAAGCCTTAATCTGCTGGTCTTTCGGTAACCTTGCCAAGCTGACACAGCTGCCCAATGGCAGGTGCTGAACTACTTGTTACACTACTTAACTCAGGCCAAGAAAATCTTGCAAGCCTGTTCCTCATAGCTTCTACTAATCTGAGAGTAGTGTACTTTGCAACCATTTATATTTCATAGATGGGACGCGGGTGGCGCTGTGGGTAAAACCTCAGCGCCTAGGGCTTGCCGATCACATGGTCGGCGGTTCGAATCCCCGCTGCGGGGTGCGCTACCGCTGCTCGGTCCCAGTGCCTGCCAACCTAGCAGTTCGAAAGCACCCCCGGGTGCAAGTAGATAAATAGGGACCGCTCACTAGCGGGAAGGTAAACGGCGTTTCCATGTGCAGCTCTGGCTCGCCAGATGCAGCTTGTCACGCTGGCCACGTGACCCGGAAGTGTCTGCGGACAGCGCTGGCTCCCGGCCTCTAGAGTGAGATGAGCGCACAACCCTAGAGTCTGTCAAGACTGGCCCGTACGGGCAGGGGTACCTTTACCTTTACCTAAATTTCATAGAGTAGCCATGCACTCTATTTCATTTCCGATAAACAAAAGCTACCACTCGCTTTCCAAAGAAAAGGCCATGTATTACTGCAGTGTTTCCCAACCTTTTTTGGGCAAAGGCACACTTGTTTCATGAAAAAAATGTCGAGGCACACCACCATTACAGCCCCGTGACGTCAGCGCGCAGCGTCACGCCGGGAGGGACATGAATTGCTAGCAAATTACATAATCACCTCCTTGAGGGCTGGCTCATCTTCTCCGAAGGCAGAACCCCATTAATTAACAGCACAGACTCACACCATAGCCAAGACGAGGGGGGAAAACCTCAGTCATGCACATGCGGGGGCTAAATGAGGACGAAGATCGGGCAGAGAGCAGGGTTCAAATCACCCCACCTGGCCAGGACAATCCCTGGGTGCTCCCTTGGGCCACTCGCCTGACCCACCTCGCAGGGCTGTTGTTGCGAGGATAACACGGGGAGAACCACGCGCGCCCCCGGGAGCTCCTTGGAGGAGAAAGCGGGCGATGAATGCAATGCACGAAATATATGAGAGGCAACCAGGTTTTGCAGGTGAGGGGCCCCCGCCAGCCTCCGCTTCCAACACCCGGCGCAACGACGCCGAAGTTTTCCCCCGGGCTCAGCTCGGGGAGCAGCGCTGCTCCCCCCGGCTCCCCTTCGCCCTCCCGGCTCTCTCTGCCGCCCACTGGGGACCCCCCTCACCTGCCAAGTCCAGAGCGCCGGTGGAAGTTGCATGCATGCATGCAGGGCGCCGCGTTGCCATTGCATTGCACTGCACTCCATGCAACGCCTGCACACATGCATTGCCTTGCACGCCCGCCAAGGGGTCTCCCCGCGGTCCGATGCGTCCCCTCCGGCGCGGATGCAGCATTGCAAAAATAAAAACCCCCCGACGCAGCCCTACCTGGGGGGCAGCCTCCGCCTCCGCCGCTCCGCCTCCGCGGGGATCCCCGGCCTCCATCCTGCCGCCCGATCTCCGCGGGGGCGCAGGCAGGCTGCGCGGGGTCTGCGCGGAAGAGCCCCTGCCCGCCCGGCCGCCGCCGCCGCGCTCATTCCATGGCCGGGAGAAGAGCGCTTCAAACAAAACGCCCGGCCCGCCAGGCCACGCTGGGAAACGTAGTTCGCGCACCCCGCGCGGGCGCGGAGCCCAAGGGCGAGGGGACTATGGATCCCGGCAGCCCCTGCGCCGGGGACGGAGGGGGAGAGGCCGGGTGCAGGGATGGAGGGACGGGTGGGCGAGCGAGTGAGTAAGTGGCAGCCACCAAGCCTTGGCCGAGAGCCAGGAAGGGCCTCCCCGGAGGAGGAGGAGGGAGGCGCAGAGCGGGAGGGAGGGAGGGAACCCCAGGGGTCATCTAGTGACTGCGCCCCAATCGAAAATTTGACTTTAAAAAAAAAAATCTTTCAATTTTTTAATTTTTCCCGCGGCACACCAGGCAACATCTCGCGGCACACTAGTGTGCCGCGGAACAGTGGTTGGGAAACACTGTATTACTGTATATTTTCTTGCTGCTAGCATTAGAATGCTATGTTCTATAGCTTGGCGCTGAGTATGTTTGATTTTTAAAAAGGCCAAAAGTACTACAGGAGCCGCTCGCTGAAAAAATTAGGCTGCCCTATGGAAGATCATCCAGAAATTTTATATACCTTTTAAAAGCACCATTCCCCTGTTAGATAAGCAGTTAAGCAAGTTCAGCTGTAATTGTTCTAACCTGTGACTTCCCTAAAAATAACATTCACTTTCACATTAACATCTCCTCCCACTCAGACGTGTTCCTTTTTTACCAGTTTCTATGGAAACCAAATCAGAAATATATATATATATGCACACATGCCTGCCATGGCAAAGACAACTTCTAGTGAAAAGGGGCAAACTTAAGTCCATATTGTTTTCTCTGTGGTTAGTAAACAGCTTTATTGAATGACTGTGGCAAAGTGGGTTTTGCTTGATACATCAGAGGGATAACACAGGATTTACTCATTTCAGGAAAAGTTCCTCTCTGGAGTGTTTTGTCTCCTTGCAATGCATACTGGGCCACTTTTGTCAAACCTCAGCGCCTAGGACTTGCCAATCACATGGTCGGCGGTTCGAATCCCCACGGCAGGGTGCGCTCCTGTAGTTCGGTCCCAGCGCCTGCCAACCTAGCAGTTCGAAAGCACCCCCGGGTGCAAGTAGATAAATAGGGACTGCTTACTAGCGGGAAGGTAAACGGCATTTCCATGTGCGGCTCTGGCTCGCCAGAGTAGCTTCGTCACACTGGCCATGTGACCCGGAAGTGTCTGCGGACAGCACTGGCTCCCGGCCTATAGAGTGAGATGAGCGCACAACCCTAGAGTCTGTCAAGACTGGCCCGTACGGGCAGGGGTACCTTTACCTTTACTAGTTGGCCATTTCTCCCTATCCCATTATTCCTTGGGATCACTGAATGTTTCTAACAAGATAAACAGCTTTTGGGGGAGTGAAGAGTGAGAACATGCATTTAGATGGTGTGGTTCTGTAGAATTATATCTCTTCAACTCATGGGTTGCAGTTCTGCTCCTAAGGTGTATCACATCTGTGTCATCAGCACTGCAACCATTGGTCATTTAAAGTTTTTTAAGGAGAATGAACAGACAGAAGCAGAGCAAAGGTGAATCACATTACTCCAAAACATGGTTAATACCAACAAAGTAGGCAAGGAGTGAATTATCACAGGAAAGGCTGGGAGCAGTAGACCATCTCAACTTTACAAACCAGTATAATTACAGAGACTTTGGTAAAGGTAAAGGGACCCCTGACCAGGTCCAGTCGTGACCGACTCTGGGGTTGCGGCGCTCATCTCGCTTTATTGGCCGAGGGAGCCGGCGTACAGCTTCTGGTTCATGTGGCCAGCATGACTAAGCCGCTTCTGGCGAACCAGAGCAGTGCACGGAAACGCCATTTACCTTCCCGCTGGAGCGGTACCTATTTATCTACTTGCACTTTGATGTGCTTTTGAACTGCTAGGTTGGCAGGAGCTGGGACCGAGCAACGGGAGCTCACCCCGTCGCAGGGATTCGAACCTTCTGATCAGCAAGTCCTAGGCTCTGTGGTTTAACCCACAGCGCCACCCGCGTCCCTTACTTTGGTACTGGACTTTAATTTCCCTTTGCTGGGTTGATCTACACAAGCAATTTTTGACTGCTTTTGGGTGGCCCCTGCTCCTCTAATAGTTGTGTAGCAGAGAGTGAGACTTGTCATCATCATCACTTTTAATTTGTATACCGCCTTTCTATCTTACAATACTATCTTACAATACTCAAGGCGGTTTACAAGCTGAAAAAACAAAGAATGTACACCTTATAACAATCTAATGCAATACAAGAATGTGATAATGAAACAGCTTTAAAATAAGCAATCGACATCAAATAAAGTAACATTCAACAATCATTAGAATAGTATAGAATTATAATATCAGCATATAAAAATTAAACAGAAACCCGATCTTAACAATTGCAATAAATAATTTTGAAACTACAATCAATAAAACAACGGCAAGCCACAGTGCATAAAATAATACAATACAAATTGAGAAGCAAAGACTGGAGGGTGGGGCAAGGCAGGTGGAAGGCAAATTGCATCAGCTGATAATCCCTCTTCTGCACAACTATTAATGGTTCAAGAGCTCTGTCCTCGTTTCCCCCTGGCCAGCCAGACTGTGAGCTCAGATCACTGGCAAGCAACCAATTCTGAGAGTAACCTCACGCAGATCACAGTCTCCGCGCAGGTGATTGACGCCTGTGGCAGCTAAGCCAGTTTCCCCCATAGTTCATTCAGCATTGGCAAGGTGAAGGAATGGCTTATGCAACATGCAGATACGGAATCATGTGAAACACTCCACTTCAGGAGGAAACTGGAATGGTGCATTACGGCAAAAATTCACTTACAAAAATATTGGAGCCTATGACGTTAGCATGATGAAACAGCCACTAGACCTGCCTGAAAACAATTTGGAATGGGCTCCTTCGGGAGATTGTGGACTCTCCTTCCTTGGAGGTCTTCAAGCAGAGGTTGGGTGGCCATCTGCCAGGGCTGCTTGAGCTGAGATTCCTGCATTGCATGGGGTTGGACTAGATGACCCTCGGGGTCCCTTCCAATTGTACAGTTCAGTTATTTTACGCATAGTAACTGAGTCACGCTGCTTCAGAATTGCAGCAAAGCTACTCAGTTCAGCAGCGCTGTCGCAAACTGCTGCTGCTGATAATGCAGGAAGACAGCAACATCATAGTTAATAATAATAATAATAATAATATTTATTATTTATACCCCGCCCATCTGGCTGGGTTTCCCCAGCCACTTTGGACAGCTTCTAACAAAACACTAAAATACAATACCCTATTAAATATTAAAAGCTTCCCTAAACAGGGCTGTCTTCAGATGTCTTCTGAAAGTCTAGTAGTTGTTTTTCTCTTTGACATCTGTTGGGAGGGCATTCCACAAGGTGGGTGCCACTACCGAGAAGGCCCTCTGTCTGGTTCCCTGTAACTTGACTTCTCGCAGTGAGGGAACCACCAGAAGGCCCTCGGTGTTGGACCTCAGTGTCCGGGCTGAACAATGGGGATGGAGATGCTCCTTCAGGTATACTGGACCGAGGCCATTTAGGGCTTTCAAGGTCAGCACCAACACTTTGAATTGTGCTTGGAAACGTACTGGGAGCCAGTTTAAAGCAAGACTATTATGGACCAAAACACATGTTAAAGTATATCCTAATTGGGATTTAGCATTTCTGTAGCCTGTACAGGCATCCCATTTCCCCCATCATTAAAACCCTTGCAGAGTTGTTTAGATTAAGAAATATTAAATAGGTGCAAGGTTTTTACGGCTGAATTGTAACTGATTCTCCTATCAGAACATTCTACGTAGTGAATAGCCTCTAGGCTAGAAAATGAGTTTTCACAGTACAGGTGGTCCCCCCCCCCCAATCCTTTGTGAGCACATGCAACATTGAATGGGCTCTGCACTATAGAACAGAGAATCACACATTCTGGGCACATGCTCCATTTTTTCAAAGCACGTTTTTAGCCCTTATTGCTGAACATGAATGGGAAATGTTTGGTGAATGTTCAGGAGCTGGATGGGAAAGAGGAGGGAGAAGTTTTGATTATTCAGTGCTCTGCCAAGTTTTTGCTGCTCCCCATTACTAGCAGAAGCAAAGCAAATTCACTGAAATAAGTTTCTCCTTCTTTGCCATCCAAAATCTGGGTTATATAATATTGCAAAAAAAAGTTTTGTTTTTTTTAAAAAAAGGAAATTCAGTGAAAAGTGTACATAGTTGGGACCCAAGACTGATTTGTAACTGTTACCTTTCTTATATCACAAGATGCTAAAACTTGTATAGCTTTTATGCTGGTATTATTATTATTATTTACCACCCTTTATCTGAAAATCCCAGGGCGGTGTGCGACATAAAAAGCACAACTTTCCGTTTTGCAGCCAAATTAACATTATTGCAATTTCTCTCCCTTGTAACAGGAAGAGGAGGATGAAGATCAGCCCCTCAGCCTGGCCTGGCCCGACACGCCCCGCAAACAGCTCACCTATCTGGCTATTCTCCCCATCGTTTTCCCATTATGGGCTACCCTGCCTGACGTCAGAAACCCTGTAAGCAGTGCAATGATTATTCCCTTTTTGTATAGGATTTGAAATATTGGGTATTGTCAGGGAACTGCCATCAGCTCAGAGGCGAGAGGGGGAAGGGCAGCTGGATTACAGAGAGCCTCCAAAAATCGTGGGAAGCAGCACTTCCTCAGCGGAGGAAGGAAGCCCCGCCTCTAGTGGGGAAGAGCTGCAGAGCTCGGAGGATGCAAGGCGGTGCCAGGACACCTTGCCTGAGCAAAGCGGGGAAGAGGGAGGTCCCCCTTTACCCAAGCCTTCCTTGTGCAGTAGGCTTTCGCGCAGAGAGGGGAGGCGTCGGCTGGGGGTCAAGAGACTGCTCTGCTGGGGAAAGTTTAAGGACCGCCCACTCTCAGATTCTGCTAGTGAGTGAGCAAGACATGGAATAGAGGCGTTCTGCATTGTAAATGTTTTGCTCCAATAATAAAGCCTTTGAAAAGACCAGTGAGGGACCTTGCCTGATTGCTCTCGAGCAACCACACAGATAGGCATAACAGGTATCTTAAGTAGCAGATCTTCTCAAGATGTGTACGGTTGTTAGGGATCTGTAACTAAGTTCACGATCCCTTTGCCTCCATTAAATTTCCTGGTGGAGAAAATACCCGGCAAGAGTTGCTGCGGGAAATGACATTTGGTTTGAGCCGTTCTTAACCTGCCAGACAATAGCTGTGAATATATTGCCATTTACCTATGTAAATATTTAATGGCAACCTATAAAATATGGCATGAATAGTCCTTTCATGTTGGTCCCTGTGGCTGTTTCTTTAGATGTCTATTATCAGTACATATGCATAAGAAATAGTCTCCCTTGGATTCCGCAGGCGCCCAACAGTTTGTATATCCTTCAGTCCCCTCTTCTGCAGAACTTTCTGCATTCATTTGGATAAAGTGTTTTCCATAATAGAATCAAGGGAGCACACCAGTTCTTTCCTGGAAAGAAATTCCGTTTTTTGTTTTTTGTTTTTTATTTCAGTGAAGCTTCCTTCCATGCAAATATAAAAAGCTTCACAGCCTAAGATTGTGCATGTTTAGCTTCTCACCTTTAGAGCCAAGCAGCCTGCCCCTCCCAAGTGAAGTTGTAGCCCCTCCATTTACTATTTTGTATTTCCTTCAGTGGGACGCGGGTGGCGCTGTGGGTTAAACCACAGAGCCTAGGACTTGCCGATCAGAAGGTCGGCAGTTCGAATCCCCGCGACGGGGTGAGCTCCTGTTGCTCGGTCCCTGCTCCTGCCAACCTAGCAGTTTGAAAGCACGTCAAAGTGCAAGTAGATAAATAGGTACCCCTCCGGCGGGAAGGTAAACGGCGTTTCCGTGTGCTGCTCTGGTTCGCCAGAAGTGGCTTAGTCATGCTGGCCACATGACCCGGAAGCTGTACGCCGGCTCCCTTGACCAATAAAGTGAGATGAGCGCCGCAACCCCAGAGTGGGTCACAACTGGACCTAGTGGTCAGGGGTCCCTTTACCTTTACCTTTACCTATTTCCTTCAGTAATATAACTCCAGTTCTGCTACTGTAGTTTAATATTTCTTTACGTTCCAGCAAGATGCTCAATGCTATTCATAGCACAGAAACAACAAGGGGTGCAATCCAGCCCAAGTTAAGCACATTTAAGTTACATTGATTCCCAACCAGTGCAGTTGCTTAACTCTCTAACAACATAAGACTTACACATTTTATTCAAGGCTAAATCATGCCTACATTCTCAGCTGAAAGGCTATCAGCTTACAATTGACAGACAAGTCCAAGGATAGGGAAGTGACTACGAATAGGTGCACAAATCTTGGGATGGAAGAGGAGAGTTTGATATTTCAGAAACAGTTTTGCTAAGAAAGTAGTCCTTGAGGGAGTAGACTTGGAGGGAGCCGAGCAGCCTGGTGAATTAGGATGCTCACCATAAGGAGGTGTTTGTGAGTCCATTTCCCGTTGTGAATATGGGAGAACTTCCTCTCCTTTAGAAATGCCAACAGCGGTATTTTTTAGCCCCGTTATGTATTTCCCTTAAAGTAGGCTTTAACACAGGGACGTGGGTGGCACTGTGGGTTAAACCACAGAGCCTAGGACTTGCTGATCAGAAGGTCGGCGGTTTGAATCTCCGCGACGGGGTGAGCTCCCGTTGCTTGGTCCCTGCTCCTGCCAACCTAGCTGTTCGAAAGCACGTTAAAATGTAAGTAGATAAATAGGTACCGCTCTGGCGGGAAGGTAAACGGCGTTTCCATGCGCTGCTCTGGTTCGCCAGAAGCGGCTTAGTCATGCTGGCCACATGACCCGGAAGCTGTACACTGGCTCCCTTGGCCAATAAAGCGAGATGAGCACCGCAACCCCAGAGTCGGTCATGACTGCACCTTATGGTCAGGGGTCCCTTTACCTTTAGGCTTTAACACCTTTGTAGCATGCGCAAATGAGCAGCAAGGCAACTGGTTGCACCATCATAAAGCGTAGACCAGGCATGTCCAAAGTCCATTTCAGGGGCCTAATCTGGCCTGCCGGTCAGTTTAATCTGGCCCCTGTGGCAGTTCATTTCCTGGGGTAAAATCCTAAACCCTCCACAACTTCAATCCTAATAAAAGCTCAAAAACTTTGAGGGGAAATCATAAAAAACAATAAAAGCTCAACAACTTCATTCCTAAAAAAATGTCAAGGTCCTTCATTTCATCAAATCTGGCCCTCTTTGAAAAAAGTTTGGACACCGCTGTAGACAGATTAAACACTTAAGGAGAAATTCTCTTAGAAAGTCAGGGCCAGTGCAAACCAGCTGGGGCTGAGGAATGTACTAACTCTGATTCAAATGATGTCCCTGTACGCCTTTTTTTTGTTCTCAAAACCTATTTGGGCACGTTTTCCAAAGAAATCTTAATTAATTCACGTATTTCTAACAATGGATTCGTGCTGCTCATAGGAATATGCTTTAAGGAACAACTCGTTTGTTTTATCAAAAGTTATTTGGTAGTAATGATAACTGTCACCCAGTTAAAGAAATCTTAGTGAATTATGGATTGGCTTTAATCAAACTGGTAATTCATTCTTCATGCTTTGGGGGACGTGGGTGCATTTTCACAAGTGATACCATTGTAGGAGAGGCATTACCTCCCGTGAAGAATAAATGTATCTTCTTTGATGGTGCCTATCATCTGTAGCTGCACTGTATTCAAAAGCTCGCTAGGCAGCACATTTTAATAATGTTAATTATTTTTCTGCACGTACTTACACAAAAGCACTTAGAGTTAAAATAATTAACTTTATTAAAATGTGCTGCCCGATTATTTGGGGAGCTTTTGCATTGATTAACCTAATGTTTAAAGGTTGTCACTCTAGTTTTAATGTATTGCACTTCATAATTTAAGAGCTGAAATGTGCATCAAGGAAATCTATATTGCTCAGATGAAGCATTGCATATCAGCTGCACTGAGCCAGCTAATCTTCCTTCAAGTTGCTGAATCCAATTGGTGTTGTCAGGGTGGAAATTGGATATTTGCTTTATAAAAAATACTTGTCAGCATGTCCTATTGCCATGACGGCAGGAAAGCTGGCTAGTGATAAGGAAGGTGCTAGGTTCTTTCCAATACGCATTACAAAAAAAATTATGCATTTCTTCTGGAAGGAAATGTTCAGACGGGAAATAGCCAATGGATTGTTATTGTTTAGTCGTTTAGTCGTGTCCAACTCTTCGTGACCCCATGGACCAGAGCACACCAGGCACTCCTGTCTTCCACTGCCTCCTGCAGTTTGGTCAAACTCATGCTGGTAGCTTCGAGAACACTATCCAACCATCTTGTCCTCTGTCGCCCCCTTCTCCTTGTGTCCTCCATCTTTCCCAACATCAGGGTCTTTTCCAGGGAGTCTTCTCTTCTCATGAGGTGGCCAAAGTATTGGAGTCTCAGCTTCAGGATCTGTCCTTCCAGTGAGCACTCAGGGCTGATTTCCTTCAGAATGGAGAGGTTTGATCTTCTTGCAGTCCATGGGACTCTCAAGAGTCTCCTCCAGCACCATAATTCAAAAGCATCCATTCTTCGGTGATCAGCCTTCTTTATGGTCCATCTCTCACTTCCATACATCATTACTGGGAAAAGCCGATGGATAGTTTCAACTAATCCTTTCAGTACCCTTTTGCCATGCCCGCTCTCACACTAGAGATGCAAAGATCTTGTGGAAATGTGCTTCCAAGACACAGGGGCATTTCAAAACTAGAGGAGGAGGGTAACAACATTCAGCAAATTGCAAGGGCTGGCTCCTGGATGCATTAAGGATTAAATTGTGAAAAGGTTTATTACAGGAGCATTTCTTCTGATTATTTCTGTCTGCCTTAATCCCTCAAGTCAGAAGGATAAAAATGTGGTTGGGGTGGATTGGCCATGCACATAGAAGCAAAACAGATTATGCATCTAGGAAAATCTGGGTAAATTTCAGTAGAATGCCTCATTTTGTGGACTTTGGACTAAACTAGTAGCACCTCTGCTTACTGTTCTCATTCTTTCTGTTTTTCAGAGCTCAAAGAAGTTTTTCCCCTTAACATTTTTCGGATCGATCTCTTGGATAGCAGTATTTTCTTACCTAATGGTCTGGTGGGCACATCAAGTAAGTGAAAGATACATCTCTGTTTTGTGTGTAACCATTCCGGTCTGACTTAACTTCAGTGGCGTAGCGTGGGTTGTCAGCACCCGGGGCAAGGCAAGTAATTTGCGCCCCCTAACCCGTGGATTTGCGCCCCCTAACCCGTGGATTTGCGCCCCCTAACCTGTGGATTTGCCCTAACCCCAGATGTTGCGCCCGGTGCGGCCGGCCCCCCCTGCACCCCCCACGCTACGCCACTGCTTAACTTGATACATCTAATGGCTTTTTTACTCTGCTTCTGTACCTTGACAATAAAACTGGTAGAGTGAGATGAAGCTCTGGATGTAAGGATGGGGGAACGGAAGCTGTTTTTTATTTAGTACTGTTATTTAAGACCTTCCGGGGCAACCTAAAACAGGAAAGGGATGTGGAGTTGTAGAACAATACCATAAAATAAGTAAAACAGCCATTTCAGCATAAAAACAGAACAGGGTACTGAAGAAACCCACCCTGGAAAAATAAAAAGGTCTTCAGCTGGTGCTGGAAAGATGCCAGACAAGTGGTGCCACAATCGAAAAGGCCCTGTATCCAATCACAGCCCTCTTCCTTTGAAAAAGTGCTATAGATCTGGAGAAGAACCTCTGAGGATAATTTTTATATCCAGAAATGTACCTGTGGAGTTGGGGAGCTAAAACAGCACGGTGCTCAAAAGTGAAATCAGCAGCACACCTAACAGCTTGAAGAACGCCAGACCAGCTAAGGGACCAGGTAACAAATGCTGAAAGCCCTTTGAAAGAAGACCATCAGTGTTATTAGGTCAATAAGGAAAGCTCTCTTCATGGATCAGCTAAGACTAAAGATGGAATCACCAAAGAGCAAAGGGAAGGTCTGCTTGGACATGTAACCATTCTTCCTCCTGGCGACCTGCTCCATTGAGGACGTCAGCCCTGAATTAAGCACACAGAGAGACTAGAGCAGGCATAGGCAAACTCGGCCCTCCAGATGTTTTGGGACTACAACTCCCATCATCCCTAGCTAACAGGAGCAGTGGTCAAGGATGATGGGAACTGTAGTCCCAAAACATCTGGAGGGCCAAGTTTGCCTATGCCAGAGCTAGAGTATACTTCTCTACTCTGCTAAGTATGTTTCGCAAAGAAATATTTCTCGCTTCCACGATTTCAGCATATTATTTTGTGTTTAGGTGGGAGAAACCATTGGCATCAGTGAAGAAATCATGGGTCTGACGATTTTAGCTGCTGGCACATCGATCCCTGACCTAATTACCAGTGTTATTGTGGCACGTAAAGGCCTGGGGGACATGGCAGTATCCAGCTCTGTCGGAAGTAACATCTTTGACATCACTGTGGGGTAGGTAATGTTTTTCTTTTTTTTTAAAGCAGCAACACCCAGTTTTAACTTAAGCCACAGATTGAAACTTCACACTACAGTTATTAGTTGCAGTTCTTTCTTGCTACTTTGGGGAAAAGATGTAAATTAGAAATACGACACCTCAAGGGAAAAGTAGTTCTCAACCTGTGAAAGCTCCTCAAAGTTACTTCTCTTCATGGATTTATCATTTTTACCACTTAACATACTAAAAATCTCTTAAGAGGTTTACATAGGAACAGGGGGCGGTATTCAAACTAAGTTTAAAGCAGGCCCATTGAAAACAGTGAACCTGACTTTGTTAGGCACATTCATTTGAAAGGGTCTACTCTGAGTAAATTGAACACCAGCTAATAAAATGCTCTAAAATCTGGATTAAAAACAAGTTAAAATAAGACACAACTGCGTATCACAAATAAAACTGAGTGGTTTATATTAACAACCCAGCCATGCATAAAGGCATGTTAAATGTGACATTCTTACACTAGTTGGTGTTGGCTTTATCATATAGCTTTCACTGCCACCGTGTTGATGGTGTGGCAAAATGCACTTTTGCTGCCTTTGACCACTGTCCGGAGAATGGTGTGATGCTCAAGGTGACAGGAGCCAGTTCTCCTTGCAGTGGACCTCGGCCAGCAACCTCCTCGTCATCTTCTGGTGCAGAAAACCCTTTGCCCCTTCTAATGCACTTGTTGTTGTTTAGTCATTTAGTCGTGTCTGACTCTTTGTGACCCCATGGACCAGAGCACGCCAGGTACTCCTGTCTTCCACTGCCTCCCGCAGTTTGGTCAAACTCGTGTTAGTAGCTTCGAGAACACTATCCAACCATCTCGTCCTCTGTCGTCCCCTTCTCCTTGTGCCCTCCATCTTTCCCAACATCAGGGTCTTTTCTAGGGAGTCTTCTCTTCTCATGAGGTGGCCAAAGTATTGGAGCCTCAGCTTCAGGATCTGTCCTTCCAGTGAGCACTCAGGGCTGATTTCCTTCAGAATGGAGAGGTTTGATCTTCTTGCAGTCCATGGGACTCTCAAGAGTCTCCTCCAGATTCTAATGCACTACCATTCTCCAAAGAAATGTTTCCATGCTCCCTACTGATAGCCTTTCCAATGTCGCCTGTGAGCTAAATCACATTGTCTTCCAGTTGTTAGCAAAGCCTACCTTTGCAAAAGCGTTTCCAATATTGTCTCTCTCTCTCTTCCCCCAACAGCCTTCCTCTGCCATGGCTCCTCTATGCTGTGATCAACAATTTCGTCCCTGTGGCCGTGAGCAGCAATGGGCTCTTCTGCGCAATAGTCCTCCTTTTCATCATGCTGCTCTTCGTCATCCTCTCCATTGCGGCTTGCAAGTGGAGGATGAACAAATTCCTGGGCTTTACCATGTTTGGGCTTTACTTTGTGTTCCTGATCGTCAGCGTCCTTCTAGAAGACAGGATCATCGTGTGCCCTGTGTCTATTTGACAAGGAAGGAGGTGCCGCTTTCTTGAACAACACCCCCCTCCCCCCCACACACACACAAATTGCAAAAGCAAATGCCCAAACCAGAACCAGACAAGAACAAAGAAACAGTCTTGAAAGAGAAGATAAGCAACGTCTTTGGAATCCTCTAATTTAAAACAGTGGGGAGAGGGAGAGCTGAAGTCATGAAGCGAGGCGTGGAGAAGTTCAGCTCATACAATTGCTGCCGCTGAACCATGATGTGGCTGCTTCAGAAACATGGTCTTGGAGAAGTCCCACTGCTTATCTGTTGGAGGTATTGTGCATGTATTTTATAACAATGTTAAGCTATTACATATGCTACACCTAGGATCTGCTCCCATGCATCTTTCTCTCTCTATCTATATATTAACAAATACATGCTACACAAAGAGAGAGCGTGCAATATCTTATAAACATACAGGAAAATGCCAATATCCATCTTTTGGGAGACGCAATTCTCCTGTTTGGGATTTTATCTGTCTGTGTAATGTAACAGAAAGTACCCAGTGCTGTCAGCATGAAGCGAACGACAGACAAGAGGCGACTCTCCGTGGATCGTGTGCTGTTCCGGTGCAGCTAGCATGTGACGTGGACACGGAGGCTCTGCAGGTTTGAGAAGCATGCAGATGTTTAGAGCAGATCAGTAGAAGTTGGGTTGATCCACACACACCCAGACTGTGAGAAATCAATAACCTTTATATGAGGCCAGTTGAGTTAAACAAAAAAAAAGTTCGGAAACTTGCATCTCCTGTATGTTCCTGCTTATCACAGCATTACTCCAGCAGCAAGCAACTATTATGTACATGTGTGAAAGAAGCGCCACAGGTCGCATATCACAGAGGTTGTGCATTGCCTCTTATACAATACTTTACCAGTGGCGGAAGTTTGCACACTCAGGTGTGCAGCATTGGAGAGGCGAGTGGTCAAGCGATGTTCATGCATGTGAGAACCAGCCTTTAATCCCAAAAAAGATGCACCCTGGCTTGCTCTGGCTTCCTTAGAAGGATCTCTGCATTTTTGCTATTGTTCTTCATCTATATATATATATGTATATATATTAGCAAGACATCTTTGAGGTACTCACAGGTAAAACCCACACTTGAAGTGTGGACTCCCATCGCCCACAGCATTTACATAAAAGTGTTACCACTACTAAGTAAATATACTCATTTTGGTAGTGCAGCAATACTGTAAGGATACGAAGTCATTTTAAATGCTGTTTCCATTAGTGCATTTGCCTTGTCATATGAAAGATGCTTGTGTGGCTTCCGTGTAGCTCTTTAAAATAGAATTTCAAAACTGCTCTATGATGGGGACAAGAACAGAAGCGGATAAATCCCATAGGTTATTTCCTTTTGTTACCTGCACTGCTGTGCACACTTCCACGTTCCTTTTCTGCTAAAGCTTTGGGGATGTTTGAGAAGGTAAATCATTTCTAGGGATGTGGAACTAAGTGGTTTGAAGCCGTTTTCTGAAGTTGCTGAGAAATGTGAAGATCAAATTGGGACAGTGAACAATTAAAGTTTCATCCATCTCCTGTAGAAGCCCCAGGAAGAGGGACAGTAGTAAAGAAGAAGCAAAAGAGGTTTCATATTTACTAAGACTCAGCATTAAATAGAACAGCTGTAAAAAAACTTTTTTAAAAAACCAGCCCTTCCTTCTACAATAATCAGCACTTATCTGTGAAGCATCTTTTACCTTGTTAAAACTCATGCCATCTCAGTTCCGTGATTGATACATTACCAGTGTTCTTGATATCCTAGGTCACCAATGTGCCATGGAAACATGATACTTAAGACCATATAACTGAGGACTCAGCAGATGTTGATGCTGAGCTTTCCTGTTCGTCTCACACTTCCACTTTCCTTTGTACTCTGTGGATTCATGCATCTGTACATAGCTATATTCATGCATAGCTATATCCAGGTAAATCACAGAACTCACAGAAAACAAGCCTAGATATTAGTCTAGGCATATTAAAACAAAAGTGGTGAAAGCGAGATAACAAGTGAAAGCAGGAAAATTAGCCGCCCCCCACCAAATACTAGCAGCATAACTGCTGTTCCTTTCTTGTTTCTAAGCTGCTACAGCATCTTCCTGGGCAAACCTTTGTTTGCTGTTGTTTCCTGGAACATCGCTGGTGCCCTTTAGAGGTCCTGTTTGTTCATTGTGCCCTTTGGGGTTGCATCCAGGGCTGGGCTTGATACTGACACACATAACACCATGTTGTAAATTCTATGCATGTTCCTAGAGGTTTACTCCAGCTTCCAGAATCTAGCAGGGCTTTCTGCCATCTCACAGGATTGCAGCCAAAGTTAATATCCGTACGTTGTGTTAAAATACCTGGGCTAGGATTCAAAGATCTGTTCGCCCCTAAAGAGGGAGCTTTGCACTTGTGTTTCACAAACATCTCTTCTGAAATGCAAATCGGTTGTGATAGGACACTGGGTGGGGAGGTTGTGGGGGAGGTCAGAGATTGCTCTGAATGCATCTAAGCCCTTGGACATGCCCAAAGCACTTCTTTTTATCTTGGCCCTTTTTATCTTTGTTTGAAAAGTTAAAGTGTAATTTGTTCATGCCCATAGAACAGGCACATCCAACTTGCAAGAGACTGTGATCTACTGTTGTTGAGTTTTTGGGGGGAGGGGGAGCTTGGGGGGGGGCGATCCACCATGATCAACCACAGACACCCTGCAATCGACCGGTAGATCGTGATCGACCGGTTGGACATGTCTGCCATAGTGGTCTTCAGCTTTCTTTTCAAAATGGCAGCTGTGAGGAGCAGTTCCATCTATGGGCCGCTGTCACCAAGAACTCCCTGTCTCATGCCACTGCCCTTCTGCCTTCTGCCATGGATGAAATGAAGAGCAGGGCATCTCCTGCCAATCGTAATCCCTGGGTTGGTTGGCAGTGAGTAAGATGATCCTCAGGTCCTTGAGTCCCGAGTCATTTAGAGCCTTTTATGCTAACAGCGAGTCCGTAAGCTGGTTCTGTGGAAAAGCTGGTTGCAGTTCTTAAGCTGAACAACCCTTTGCATAATTAGCTGAGAAAAACTGTTTTTTCTCTTCTTTTGCAGTTCAGTAGCTTCACTTCTAAAGGTAATGATGTAATGGCATTGATGAGGATGGCATGTACTAACTTGCTTGAGTTGGGTCTGCTAACAAAACATCATAGATCATTTTTATCCAATAGCTGTTTGTAGCCTTTACTTGCAGATTCACACCTGCAATAAAGACATGGGGGGGGAGAGAATATGCATTTTGGGGTAGGAAGAAGCTGTACGGCGCTTCATCTCTCAGGAATCAAAATCCACGCTAAAATTGGAGCAGCTTCAGATGCAAGATTATGATTAAGGGTTTGGAATGCATGTCATAGGAAGAAAGGCCGCTGACTCAGAAGTAGGCTAGCTTTTCAAAAACACCATTTGGGGAGACAACTGTGCAGGAAGCTGTGGGGTGGGTGGTTCTGCAGAACAACACAGTGACATTTGGAGAGGGACAGAGAACCTTAGGAACAAACAGTTCCAACAAATGGCTGGAGCCTCCGTTTGGCAGAGATGCTCCTCGCAGAGTTTTGTGCTTCCCAGCACTCGGTTTCCATGGCTTCAGCATTCCTAGTTGTTTGGAAAGTTAAAAGTGCAATATTAGGTTATTAGAACCTTGTAGCACAAATCAGTGGCAGGTTACTTAACATCAGCACATGAAATGCAGCCACACATGTTTATTTGTGCCCTGATGACCCCCTTAGTGCTGTCAAGGCATAACTATGTATTTACAAGACACAATGGGAAGAATAACCCCATCAGGAAACTAGACCACTGAAAGTGTAGACAATCTCAGAAACCAGAATGGAGGCTTAGTTTCCAACAGTAGGGAGTATGACTTCTCTTCTCTTAGTAACTCTTTGACCCTTCTCAGGAAAACAAAAGAGGCAAATTAACATAATTAATTCCAGTTGCAGAATTCAGCTTTTCTTGGCGCAGGACTTGAATTCCTTAAAGGTAAAGGTAAAGGGACCCCTGACTATTAGGTCCAGTCGTGACCGACTCTGGGGTTGCGGCACTCATCTTGCTTTATTGGCTTCCGGCTTTATTATACAGCTTCCGGGTCATGTCACCACCATGACTAAGCCACTGCTGGTGAACCGGAGCAGCGCACGGAAACGCCGTTTACCTTCCCGCCGGAGCGGTTCCTATTTATCTACTTGCAATTTTGACGTGCTTTCGAACTGCTAGGTTGGCAGGAGCAGGGATCGAGCAACGGGAGCTCACCCTTTCGCGGGGATTTGAACTGCCGACCTTCTGATCAGCAAGTCCTAGGCTCTGTGGTTTAACCCACAGCGCCACCCTTAGGCACTTAATTAAAATTGAATTAAAATTGAATTCCTTAGGCACTTAATTAAAATTTGTTTTTAGCGCAGAGTACACAACAGCGCTGATGCTATCTGTATAGTTATGAAACATCAGGCTGACTTCAGTTAATCCAGGACTTTGCCCAATACTTTCTTGGACATTTTAATATCAATGAGATGACTGTATGCTTTTCAAAACTCCGTAGTCAGGTATGCCTGAGATCCTTTATAGATTACAGAAAGTAGTACTTCTCATAGATTAGGCTTGGTTGAATTTCACATCGCCATTGTAAAGTGCTGCAGTTCCTGCTTTGAGAAGCACCAGTGAGATTTAAGTGGTGCGTTGCTCTTGATAGCTTTCTCTGCAAATTTCTGGTCCTTCTGTAGTTAAAAATAAAATGTCCCCTGAGTGCTTCAGCTCCTGCTAGTTTAAACTAGTACCGACATTCCCATCAGAGCCGTAATACAAGTGAGGTTTTCCTTGCATGCAGACGGAAAAGCTTATCTAGTGACGGTCACCTGAATGGATGTAGATGGTGATTTTGAATTGAGTTCGAAATGGTTAGATGTTAGGCGTTAAGTGCAGATTTCTCGTGTACAGAAACACATTCAGCTTGCATGTAAAGCACGTGGACCCCAATGGAACTTGCGCCCAAACATGCTTCAGGTTCATTTTAAACACACACATTTGGGCTGCAATCCTGTATCCACTTACCTGGAAGTGAGACCCGTGAGCCAGACTTGACTAAAAACTTGCAGTAGCAGCGCTGGCACAGTTGTGGTTCCCTCTTCTCCCTCTGTGTGCTTCTGCCGCCGCCGCCACCCTGCAAACAGCTGTGGAGTTTGGGAGCGCACAGCTAGCAAGCAGAAACCCTTGTGCAGACCAGGCGACCGTAACAGTGCTACGTTGCATTCAGTGCGACTGAATAGACCTGTACAGGGTTGCAGTGTTAGATGCAAACACTAAGTAACAAGTAGATAAATAGGTTCTGCTGTGGCGGGAAGGTAAACTGCATTTCCGTCACAGTGTTCCATTGTGCCAGAAGCGGTTTAGTCCTGCTGGCCACATGACCCGGAAAGATGTCTGCAGACAAACACCGGATCCTTCGGCCTGAAAGCGAGATGAGCGTGCAACCCCATAGTCGCCTTTGACTGGACCCAGCTATCCAGGGATCCTTTACCTTTACCTGTTACCTTTAGGGTTGCACTGTTAGATGCAAAAACTAAGTAACAGGAATGGGTGTCCGTAGGCTTATGTGGTTAACACCTTTGCAACCTGCCCTGCTGCATCAACAAGGCATTCCGAGCTGCAGGCAGCACTGAAACTGCAATATTTCTTAGCTGTCCTCAAAAACCCAGATAAGAAACAGAACAAAGCAGTAGAACAAACCATTGTCAGACAGGAGCTTGCAGCATCGCAAAGCAACTGAAGGACAACATGCACCAAACTATCCCACAAATGCCAATTAATAAATCTATGCACAGTATAGAAAAACCGACACCCTGTTATATAAATATAAATTGATCCAATTTTTTGTGTGAGAAGTGATGGGAAAAGAGTATCAAACTGAAAATAAAGTAACTGATCCCTGATGGAGATGGAATGCGTTCCATCTTTCAGGTGTACAGGGAATTCTGCACGGTTGCCTGTGATGGCTTTCCCCCAATTAAATCCTTAAGGGGGTGCTGTAAGCGCTCCCTCTTTCCACCTTGTGCTCCCCCTCCCCTTTGGAGACCTCAGTAATAACAAAACGTGAAGCTTTGCATTGTTTCAGTCTGCCATAGACCCCTGAATTATCAGGGACAGGGGTGGCACTGTGGTCTAAACCACTGAGCCTCTTGGGCTTGCCGATCCGAGGGTCAGCGGTTCAAATCTGCGCGACGGGGTGAGCTCCCATTGCTCTGTCCCAGCTCCTGCCAACCTAGCAGTTCAAAAGCATGCCAGTGCAAGTAGATAAATAGGTACCACTGCGGCGGGAAGGTAAATGGTGTTTCCGTGCGCTCTGGTTTCCATCACAGTGTCCTGTTGCGCCAGAAGCGGTTTAGTCCTGCTGGATACATGACCCCGAAAGCTGTCTGGGGACAAACGCTGGCTCCCTTGGCCTGAAAGCGAGATGAGCCACAGCCCCATAGTCACCTTTGACTGGACTTAACAGTCCAGGGGTCTACCTTAGACCCCTAAAGAATCGCGTCATTCTGATGTGAAAAAGCGGGTTGCTAACAGTACTGCAGAGGTCCTCTGAAGGACTGCTGGTGTTCTGTAGATAGTAGCACTCAATGCGAATTGC